GCCAACCATGTAGCTTCACACTTTAAATTAGCTTCCTTATTAACATAAAAAAATAAATTAAAAACCAAAGCTGTGCCTGGGCTCTGTCAGCTGAATCTATAATAAAAGAGCATCTTTGCACTCCTATGACATACTGGAATTTTTTCTTCCCTTTCATTTTCAACACACAAAACTGATAGGCAGGTATTAGTGCCGCTGTTGAGCTCCGCAGATGATAAAAAGCCCCATGATTAAAACAAAAAACCCCTAAATGAGACGGTGCAAAGAAATCCAGCACTGACCTCCCAGGGGGTTCACTGCTCTCCGCACCGCACCAGGGAGCAAACCTGGAGATGCCTCTTGTTTTGATCACGTCATTTTAAAAGGGAAGAAGAAGAAAAGAGGAAAAACTCAAAAAATCTAACAAGGTCACGGCACACACATGTATTTTATAGGGCAGTGTTATCTGATACTCTAATCGGACGCAGAGTCCCTCAAAACCAGGCAGGTGGGACGAGCTCTAGTTGGGGCCGGGCTGCTTCTGCCTGCGGCATCACTGCCGGCAAAGGGGCACACGAGTGATGCCAATAAATAAATAAACAAAAATAAAAATCCAGCCAAATGGGCCACCTTCCTCACGTACTTGCAGGATATCTCCTGTTCTGCAGGACACTGGGCTAAATGGGGCTAAAGCAGCTGATGGAACCAGCGTTAACGGGCAGCTCTGAGGCTGATCTGTCACCTAGAGCAAGTCCCTAGCGTGAATGGGTTATAAGGGCTCACAGAGTGGACAGCAATAGAAATACTCGTGTTTTACCCTTCCCTGTGGGTCACAGAGCTATGAATCCAAATGGAACCACAAGTGCTAGGGGAAAGGCTGCTCCCAAGGCAGCTACAAGGGTATAAAGGTGCCTCGTGCTACTACTGCCTGCTTGCAGATCCCAGGAGCACAGCAGCTCGCTTCCTACGGAGGGTTTTGCTTGTGCTGCTGACTCACGGGTTTGGCCCTGCTGCCGGCTCTGGTGGATCCAACACTCATAAAATAAAACGAGCATCCTCCAAGAAATGCTACCAAGCACCACGAGCGCGCTCAGGACTCGCCACGGAAAGCAGAGGCACCCAGGGTCGCCCACGGCGCGGAGCTGCAAGGATTCCAGTCCCTGGCCCCTCAGCTGCGTTTTCCACTCTGAAAAGCAATCTGCAAACCCAGGGAGCAGTGGGAGCAGACCCAGAGAGCAGAGGGGACAGACCCAGAGAGCAGAGGGGACAGACACAGAGAGCAGAGGGGACAGACCCAGAGGAAAACAGGGGCAGACCCAGCTGGAAGCCCCGGCACTGAGGCTGCGCCGAAGCCGCCTTCCCCACGTGCCAGCCCCGGCGCTCGGGGTCTCCTTCGGCTCCACCGTCGCTCAGAAGCTCTGCCAGACGAGCCAAGTCCCAGGCACGTCTCCAGGAACTCGTTTTGTCAGTGCATGCAGCCGGTGGTGCCCAGGAAACCCAGTGAGCTGCTGGTGGGGTTAGCTGGAAACCTCCTTTGCAGTCCAAGGCTTTTCCAAAACGGAGCCCAGGATGGGGAGAGCCTGGGTGACCAGTGCTACTGGGCACAGCCAGTGGCTTCAGCATTTCTTAGCAAAATTTATAAGGGGGAGCCTACTGGCCACTTCCAGCTTTCTCTTTTTACACTTTATGGGTTATTATTTTAATGCGAGTTGCTAGCAGTGGCTCATAGCTCCCAATTAACCTAGGCGCCAATTTAAAAAACATATTTGTTTCCAAGGAGATATTAAAAACTCCACAAAAGGTAACAAATATACGAGAAAAGGAAGAGAACTAAAAGGCTGTGGTTAGAAAATTAAAGTTGTTTGCCATGGCTTGATGGCTTAATCAGTCGATCAATACTGTTCACAGGGCAGGCAGGGAGGGAGCCATGAGTTGTGATGAAAAATGCATGAAGGGACAAGGGAGACCTGGGAGTAGAAAATTAAAAAGTCAGCCTGTTACATTTGTCCAATATTGGCAGAGAAATTAAAGTGGTTTGGGGAGGGGTGTCGAAGGGAAGAGGGGAGCTGGCTGCAATACGCACTGCATATCTGCTGAGGGTTCCCTTCGCGAGAGAAACTTTCACATTAATTAAGTTGCTTTCCTAGAGAAAAGATGGATTTTGTAACCTTTAGCACTGGCGAGCTCCACGGGAACACGAGGTGGGGTGTGCACATGGGAAAAGGGAAAGGGATTTCTTCACATCAGGGAGGCAATAGTAGACCCGCGTGTTCTGATTAGGGTAAGCGATACCAAGATGATATTAAACAGAACGAGGCAATGCATTTTCCTCCCTGCAGCATTAGGTGAGATTGATATACCCTTGTAATAGAAACCAGAATGATGCAGCCCAACACCGTGGCCCTGCCACCTCCTTCCTTGCCCATCCTGCCATAAACCCCATCCCAACCCCTAAAGCTAAGGGTGGGAAAGAAAAATAAGACCCAGCAGTCCAGCCACCAAGCTGGAGGGAGAACAGCCAAATTTGCTACTGAGAGAAGAGCTTTTAAGGCAGGGTCTGTGCCCAGGTCTGCACCTTGCAGCGGGGACTCGCCGCTTGCTGCTGCTTGGCTTGGAAAGTCCCATCTCAGCAATAATCAGGCACTCACCACTGAACAATTTAGAGTTCCAGGACAATAAGCAGAGACAAGCACATATTGCATCCAAACTGCTGAAATGTATCAGCTTTAGAAGAGTTGAGACAGTTAACTTTTCCCCGCAATGGAAACGTTCCAGCACGTTCCATTTTAAAAGGTTGCAGGGACAGGAGGAGGCTGCCCTGGTGCAGACCGGGGACAGGGCTTCTCCCAGGGCCTCTGAGAGGGAACAGGATTCGTCCTGATCACAGGCTTCCTTCCTTCTTTTTGGAAGATGTACACCAAGCAGCTCTGTGCTGTATTTCCCCAAAGCAATTATTTCCATGCTCAGGTACCTACTGTGGAATTTTACGACTCGGACTCACCAATTCCAGGTTTAAAACCTCCGTCTCAATTAGCACAGAGCGGCCAATGCCACTCGCTCAAACTAATTATCTCCTAGAGCCAATGCAGCTTCCTCATCCAAGATTTTGGTAAACTTCGGGATTTGCTTTCTGCACCACTCTAAACACCGTGGAGCAGACGGCAGCCCCTCACGCAGGCTGCCCACCATCTCATGACCTTTTTATTAACACCAGCTAAATGCTTACGCCAGGAGAAAGCCGGTCCTTCCCATTAGCGACGGGAGCAGCAGCGGAGCCGGCAGCCGCAGGGCGCTCTCATCTCGGACGCGCTCACGGTCCCGTCCTGGCTGAGCTCTGCACCAAGGAGGCCACCTGGGTCAAACAACAGCACGACAGGTTTTCATTAGGTAGTTCAAATGCAGCAGGATTTAAAACAGACATTGACCACCCATAGGGATCCGCTCGTAGGGATTTTTTTCTGCTTGGCGACTGAAAGAATGGGGAAAAAATGTTACTTATGAATGCACTCAAACACAGCAACATACATTAATTCCTCCCACACCACATAGTGCCTCCAAAGCAGGTCATAAATGTGCATTTTCTTCCATGTGTCCCTCTCTTTCCTAGGTGTCAGCCTTGCTAGAAAACCGAAACGTCCATCCCATCGCTGTCCTCAGGACCAGTCGTCTTCAGAAACTCTTTTTTTTTCTTTTTAAACACAGTTAACTCAGCACCATCCAAGCCCAGGGTGATACTCGAGTTCCTTTGTTCTTTGGCTTCCACAGCTGTTGAACAAACAGCTTCATAAATGCTGCAGATTTGAAAAAATCTTGTCTTTTTTTAAAGTGGTTTTTCGTTATGAAATGTGGTAACTTCACTCAACACCCCTTGCTGCAAACCAAACCAGACCTCACCACAGCAGAGCATCTGAAAGGGCCATCCTTCCTTTCAGCACAAGTTTTTCACACCAGCTCCACTTAAAAACAATTTGCTACACTATATATACCTTAACATGTAAGGGTATTACAAGAAAATTACCAAGTGACAAAGTGCTTAGTGGCTCCCAAAAGCGAATGGTTACGGAGACCATGGAAGACACCGATCCGGCTACAGCTCCAGGCCAACAACCACCGAGGTGGGACAAGCAGAGACCTCGGCAGGCCCTGGAGGGACGGATACATGGCCAGGGGCTGGTGGGGACAGGACACATCCATGGTGTCCCCACCGGGGACATCTCCCTCCTCGCTGGTGCCACATGCAAGTTTCAAGTCATTGAAGCAACACGCTGCCTGCATCTGTGCTGCAGACGCTGCGCTTCGAGGCTGAATTTATTTTGCTCCTTTCAGTTCTAAAACGGGACAAATGACTTCTACACGCTGCCACCGCTCGTCACACATTTTCTAACCACTTAATACTTGCAGATTTTGTTAACATTTTTCATTACAATTTTAGTAAAGTGAAACATCTGTTTCCCCCCCCCCCGCCTCAGGAAGTACACACCATCTTCCAAGCTGCCACATGCCTTTGAAATTCCATGTTTAATCAACACCATAATCTCTCCCAGAAAAAGACCAGCACAGAGAAGCAGCCCTGCAACAACAAAACCCCTATGGTATCAGCATGCATGTTTAAATGCTTGGTTTTTTTCTGAGGAAAAAAGCAGCTTTGAAAAGTTCACACCCAAACCACAGGTTTTGTTATACAGACCATGAAATAAACAGCACAAATTTTGGAATACAAAATTTATTTTAAGCTTACAAAAGTCTTCATCATTGCAAATTCTGCGGCAAAACACACATACTGTACATGGAGATTCTTATTGTTTGGGATAATGAGGACAAGTATCAGACCCCAAACCCCATTTCAGCACAGAAACATCAAGCAACCCCACAGAGCTCGTCACCCTTCTGCCCGTACACCATTAGACTCGTGTTCCTTGCAGAGGGATGGCTATTAAATAGCCAAATGTATTAGTGCAACCTTATGACTTAGCACAGGATGAAGGGTGCAGAAATGGAACTGGCTTTTAACCCAAGGGCTCCGTGCAGGGCCGGGCAGATCCTACTGCCTGCAAGTGTCATGGAAAGCTTCGAGCGTGCGGAAATCCCTCCACGTGGGCGGCAGGCCATCCTGCAGAAACTTTCCGCAGCGCTGGCACGGAGCCTGGAACAGCTTTATGTAACTTCTCAACCAGGTCTGAAAGGAAAAGGGAGAGAAATTAAAGAAACCGGATTTGGACATTCCCCTATGTCATCACTCTTGTCAAGCTGCGATACCAAGGACAGAGAGCCCATCTTGGCTTAGCCCCAGCGAGGTGCACAGTGATTTTATAAACAGAAAAAACATGCAGAAGATTACAAGGTCACTACACAGCTGAATTTCCACTTTATTTCTTTTCTATTTTCATTGTTTTTTAGTTACTTAAGCAACTTTGTTAGGAGAAAATCACGCACTCTGACCGGGAGGTAGCTGGAGCTGCAGAATCGCCACAGAAGGCTCGCCGTATTTTTACAGGAATACAATATTTTTGATGGGTACCTTCTTCAACTGAATATTGGTTTGTCCCTTCCTATGATGATCCATCACAGCGCAGCTGCAATCACACTGCAAAACTCTGAACTCTTAATAGCTGAACATACAGGCACTCCTGCAGCAAGCTAACTAATTTCCTTTCTAATGTGATTTCATGATCAATACTCATTGGTCACAAAAATACTCCACAATTTTAAATCTGATTATACCAATGTTAAAGGAAAAAAAAAAAAAAAAAAAGGCAAAGAAGCCAAGTGTTGAACAGCAAGCAATAAGTGCCAGTGTTCCTAGTTCTTTTCTCTTAACTGGTTTCTTCCTAATGTCATACATAGCAATAAGCATTTCATAACTCAATTCTAAACTCAAGGAGATACAACCAAAAAAAATACCTAGTCCAGCAGATTTACGCGGTGAAGGATGCACATGAATCTTGTCATTTAAAGTCCTATTGAATTACATCGATAACAGAAAATTGTTCTCTGAAGAAGAGGTCAGCTGAGTTTATTGAAACAAATCCTTCCATCTTCATCAGAGCCTTCTCTATAGCAACCGAACTCTGGCCGTCAATAACTCTCCTCCAAGAGGACTAGATCTTCTCTGGGTTTAGCAGTAAATATGGGGACAAGGGCAACAGAACACTACAAGTAAATTGCTGTTATTTACTTGGGCTTGGATGAACTTCGCTTGTATCACAGAAAAATTGAGTTTTCTGGATGGTAATACAAAAACAGGTAAATGACGTTAAAGCGCGCACATTTGTTGAAAGAAAAAAAAAATTCTTCATTCCCATCAAAAAATTCTGACTCACTATATCCTGTCAAGCAGATTACACATCTGACATGTGAAAGGACTAATATATTGACACTTCTGATGTACATCTGGTTTTGCTTTGTTAAAATTTTTAGTAGTGTTTTACCAAATCAATAAGGCAGGTCCATGTCTTGAACAAACATGCTACCAGTTCTATTAAAAATTAATTTTCAGACACGTGTTGAAACATGGATTACACCAGTAACACTTGCTTTCACCTTTCAAAGTCTATTACTTCAGGATGCACTCTAAGAAAACAAGACTTTCACAAATCCCTCGTTTTATTGGCCTTTTATTAAATAAGCAAACTAGCAAGCACAGCAGACAAGGGAGTCTGATCATTTGAAAATTTCATGCTGGATATCAAAAATATAAAAGATTCAATTACACCTTATCCACCTGAAGACTGTGAATGGCAAAATTAGCTCTTGATTTTAAGAAGTCTCCATTGCTCTATTCCTTGTCCTGGACCAAATGTCACAGATGAAGTAAAAAGATTGAACAGCAGAGAAAACCTCCAGCAAAAGCTTCCTTTGGGAGACTGCAGCAGGGAGAATAACAAGTCTCCACTGCCAAAATTCATCTTGGTACAAGGAATACTGAATCATAGACTCTTGTTCTCACCCCTCTGATTAATAGGACTACTAATAAACAAGCTTATTTCACAAATAAAATTCTAAATATAAGCTGAACGCTGATGGAGTATATGCGATTCCTGAGGAATAATGCTGGGTTTGCAAGTGGATGCAGCAAAATGGACTTTTCCCAGCCACATTCCTGCCTCTCCTCATTTTTCAAGTATTGGATGCCAATTGCCATATGGGCCAACCTGATAACAGGCCCATAACTGATAATAGCTGGTCTGTTGGAACTGGGGGTTTCCTCTTATTGGGAAATTTTCCCTGGAGCAGACTTTTCACATCCCCAGCATGAACAGTGCGAAGGGCCTGGGCCATATTAAAGAGCTTGGCTGAAAGAGCTTTTCCCATTAGCTTTAACGACGACCCAGAGCAGGCCCAGCAAGTGGCAAGAGCTGGGATAAAAGAACTCCATATAGGAGCCTCAAACACCGACCATGGCAGGGTACTGGGAACGGCGTCTTGATCCTTGTCCTGCTATGAGGTGTAAAGAAACCTCTACTGAAATGAGAATCAATCTCGACTGTCTAGAGCTTGTTAAAAGAGGTGAAATTATAACTGCATCACCAGGTGCCTGGCATGGGTCGCTGGGGTCTATCTGTCAGAGTGTGTTTTCAAATGCACTTACCATGAAAGATCTCACGACCACGTCGGGCATCTGAGGCAGCTGGTAGTGCAGGAGCGCTGTCGTTGCATGATCTGTCACCTGTGTGGGACAAAAGGACATCATCCTCTTACTCGTTTGGAGGTTCAGAGGAAGCAGTATTTACACAGAAAAATCAAACACACCTTTGGGACTTCAAAACGACGCTGAAAGCTAATAGTGTTGGTAAAAGAGGCTAAGTGGTGGTTAAGGGAGCTAAGTGCTGCAGGAAGGTTCCAGCTGTGTCACGCGGCGCGACGCTAAGAGAAGGTGCTCGAGTCACTGCCCTCAGCTCCCCACGCCAAGGGAGGGCCAGGCAGGGAACGGACTGAAAACACAGTCTTTATCACTGTTAGAATAAAAGAATTCAGTAAAAAGCACCGGCAAACCAAAATCTGCTGTACTATTCGAAAGACAGCACCCAGAGCAAGTAATCCGCTGCATTTTCAGGTGTCTAAGGCAGGAGAGTGGAACAATTCCCCCTAGGCTGTGCCCTGGTGATTGAAATCCCATGTATTCTGTGAAATCCCACAAGCTAAGCCGCTAAACAAGTCATGTCAGAAGAAAGCACTTTGTTTTTCTCTTTATATGCTTCCAGTTTGGTTTTGGTCATTTCTCAGAGAGTTTATATTCCCCTAACATATGTTGATTTATTCCATGAAAGAAACATTGACAATAACACAGCAAAATTAAACAGTTCTGGTAGACTAAATTGTGGGAATAGAGAGTGTTTGAGAAGAAGAAGAAAAAAAAAAGAGCTCTGGTATTGTTTTTTTACTGAAAATAAAGAAAAACAGTAGCATAAAATATCCAATTTAGAAACTGCATTTTAATGCAAAAATGTCTACTCTCTTTCCCAACATACATATTTTAAATACTTGACTGTTGTACACTGATTTCAGCTTGCTTACGTTGAACAAATATGAATTGAGCTCAGTTTCATTTCCTCTGAAACCAGGAATCGATTAATATGATTAGGGTTTATAAATACTTGCACTAGTAAAAGATTTCTGATAGAAAGCTTTTTAATCTACCAGAGAGAGCCATAACAAGATCTTACATCTGGGAATTACAGCTAGACAGAATAGACATAAAATGCGTATTTTTAATAGCATGGAAAATTAAAAAAAAGAAATCAGCAAAACTAACCAATGCTTTGATAGATTTTCTATCAAAATTTAAAACCCAGATTCAAGAAAAACAGGAAAGAGGCAGTTTTTGAAGAGCTAAGATATAACTCAGTAGCAGGATTCAATTTGTCAGCTCTTGGTTTAGAGCTTCCCAAAATAAATTGCATGGGCAATTGCCTGATTTTTGTATGAACCTATGGGCATAATGCGGAATTTATTGGCAAAATTCACTGGGCTGGACCATTAAAGAACTCGGACAACACGATCACTTGTTACGATCTGTAAATCTATTCACGGTCCTCATCAGTAGTATGAAAGCATCTAACAAAGTACATGAAGGCTAACTGGCGATTAAATAATATTTTGTAGTTTTGACAAGAAAAGGAACTGCTCTTCTCACGGCCTGTCTATTTCTCTGAGCCTGTCTATGTATTTCTTTGGGCTTGTCTACATACCACAGATAAACTGTGAATGAAACTGTAAAAGCTATTCCCAACTAATGCTGCTTGTTCCTCATTTGTATTTAGCCTAATTCAGCATGAAGGGGATTGCACTGGAGTACTCAAACTTCCATTACGGAAAAAACACAGGCGTGCAGCTATTCAGGGAGGTAAATCTGAAAAAGATACAGCCCTGAATAAATCCATATAGAGACAGGCTTTAATTCACACCATACGAGCTGCCTCCACAGAACCCTGGATTAAATCAGTCTGTCCTACCCTGGATGCAGTTTTTGGCTGCACTACAATTAGAGCTGCAGATTCTGCTCCCTGGTGCTTGTGCCCTGCTCCGAAAGCGGCTCCTTTTGGTATGAGCAAGGTCGTCGATTGGGACTTTGGGAAGGTAAAACCCTCGGCACGGGGCAGATCCTGGCGAGTTCGCAGCGACAGTCACAAACTGCAGCCCAACCTGCTTGGGCCATCAAACAACTTTAAAAAAATAGGAATAAAATGATTAACTGTGTATGAACAGAACAGCACAACTCTAACCAGTCAATCATTTCTGCTAAAACCTTCTCATGTAATGTTCAGCAATAACAGTAATTCAAGTCCTACTAGCTGTGTGGATCTTTGCCTTTTAAGATGGTGCTTTTATAGGACAGCACCAGACATGTAAAGAATAGAAGGTACTGAAGATATTTATGAGCAGCCGCTCTCCTTCTGCTGCGCTTCTACTTCTAACAACCTCTGTTTTTTTCCTTTACTACAAAGTTGTTTTCTCTTGGCATTGAAGACATAGAAAAAGTTGCTTAAAAAAAATGCTATTAACAAATTTAAATTGACTGGCCACTTTGGCAAAGTTGCACATATGCTGTTGCTGTTGTAGCGTAAAGCTAATGAGATTCCACAGGGAGATAAAAGCCATCCCAGCATTGCTAGAACACTAATAATGTTTTCTGAACAAAAAGCGGGCGATTTCTACCATAAGCAAGTGCTGATAAAGTGCTTCTAAAAAGATCAAAGCCTGTGTCAAATACGAGAAATACAAGAAGGGGGACGAAACCCACCTCCCCCTTCCCAAAAATCAACATTGGGATGTCAAGCACGGAACAGCAAAGAGCTGGGGGGAAAAAAATCAGATTGGCCAGTACATGTGAATGAAGGAATAATAATAATAATAAAAAAATGAGATGATGAGAGAAAACATAAATTATACAAGATCTAAAAAAAAAAAAAAAAAAGGATCAATACCCAACTTTACTCCAGCTTTACTAATGGCAATATGATTTCACACCAAAGCAAAGCAAAACAAGCCACATATGTGCCAGCTCAGTTATGGGACACACTTTTTCTTCCAGCCAAGCTGGAATCACAAGCTAATTTATTTTGGGTGTAGGTTGGCATTTTGTGTATTTCAGGACTTTATTTTATTAACTTCACTTTTATAGCTGTGCCTTCCCTCCTGCTTTCCATTATTGGTCACCTTCTCATTTCTCTACCCCTTTCTATGCAGGAACACATTCAGAAGAGCACAAATTGATGAGGATTACTCTCGCTCTGGACCTTGAAATAGATTTTCAAGTAGTCTTGCAGAAAAGCTCAATAATTCACAATTCATTTAGAAAAACACCTGGAAGCTTTGTCCAAAAAAAAAAAAAAAAAAAAAAAAAAAAAAAAGAAAAAGAAAAAAGCTTCTGTAGTTACAATTTTGCTAAATAAAAGAGCTGTTGTTCAACTAAACACGTCCCCACTTTGAGATGAACAAGAAAGGATTTTAGTTCTGGCAAAAGGAAGGTCTTGGCCTTCTTTAAACAAATCTAAACTGCCTTAAGCTGGATGAGCTGGTTTAGCAAGGGACACTCTTGTTTTCCATCTGAACAAGAAAACCTTCCTTTTTGTTAACTGCCGAATTTCTCATTTCTGACATATTTCCTTCTAATTTCTGTTTCCAAGTTGGTTAGCAATGTGTACGACACGGCGCATCCCTGCTTCCTCCTCCGGAGCGCTGCCTCCGCTGGGAACGCCGAACCCCAACGGCTCCCCGATCCAACCTCGTCCTCGTTGCGGTGGGGGGTTTCCGCCCGCCCCGCTCGGGGAGCGGCCGGTCCCAGCGAGGCGGCAGGGCCGGCTGGGCCCTCGGCTGCTCCAAGGAGCTCCCTGCCGGGCCGCGTTGCCACATCCGGCTCCCTGCTCGCCACGCTGGCTCAGGATGGGTATAAATGGCTCGTGAGAGCCCTGCGGAGGGAAGGGCTGCAAGCAAATCCGCTGCCTCTTGCCTCGGCCACGCTGGTGCCTGCCTCTTCCCTGGCGTTTCCTTCCCTGCTCGGTGGGGTGGATGTGCTGAAACGCGATTTTTAAAGGTTATGCTTTTCCAAAACCGAACAAAAAAGGCATCAGTGAGCACAGGCAAGTACTGTTAATCACATAACGCTTCCAAAGCTGCAAATTCATTCCAAAGAGTATCCTACAATTCACAGACTGAGAGCTCCTGCTAATTGGGATAAGCAGCCCAAAAGCAAGGACCAATGGCACAGATAACTCCACCACAAGTGCCCTCCATAGGTGTTCGGAGCTAGAAAAAAATGCAGAAAAACTAAGAACTAAAAATTAAGAACACCCTAACAGACAATACTATAGATCTTGTCTCAGTATTCTAGCATTCTATCTCGCTGCTAGAAAAAAAACATGTGCAAAACTTCCCTTTACACTTAACTTTTTTCCCCACTCATTCACAGGCTGAGTCCCGCAAGTATAGTGCTGACAGCTCCATGTAATATAAAGTGATTCTTTAAATCCCCAAAAAGATTTTAAACTTTTTTTTCTCTTATAAGCCCCTACGTTCCTGGTCTTAACAGTAGCTTGTGGCGATGAGTTCCAGAAGACAATCAAAGTGCAAGAAAAAGGCAATGACAAAGAAAAAAAAAACAAAGAAAAGCACATTATTTTATTAGTTTTTAGACAGTTTATACTGTGGTAAACTCCAAGAGTGCCTTTTTCATTCCCACGGAGTCCCTTTATTCAATCTTCTCTCCAGGAAAGCATTTGAGCCTCTCTGGAGGGGCTGGTGAGAGCGGAGACGCCGGTGCCCGAGAGGCGCTGGGGCAGGAAGATAGATGGTCCCTTCTACAAACAGCCACTACAAACAGCTCCGAAAACCCCCTCCCGACACCCTTCCCCTCCGCCAATTCCAACAGCATGGATTTCTCACGTAAAAGCTGGTAGAGCTCCATGAGACCTTTCCGAAGCGCCGGGTTTGTGTTTTCGGAGCGGAGCGCGCGCCCGGGCCTTCGTTTCGCTTGCTCTGCGGTTCGCGCTGGGTCACGGGGGTTTCGTTTCACCTGAGCAGGGCGTCGAGCAGAGCTCAGGACGGCTCATGAAGGAGCACCCGGGTGGGTGACCCTGGCAGGGACCGTCTCGTCTCCTTGAGCAGACCCCGTCGATAGCCCCATCTCCGCCTCATGCATGCATTCATCCCGCCTTTATGCCGAGCTTATTGACAGGAATACATCTTCATACATTAAAATACCTATGTGCCCTTGGAGTGGGGGAAATTGTGCTGAGTTTCACTGCTCTGCGATCACACGTCTCGCAGGTTAATGGCTGGATGCACACAAGTAACTTGCTGAAGTTTAGGTTAAAACCTGACTAGGGAGGAAGCAAATCAACCCCCAACGGGACCAGAGACCAAACTGTGAAGGGGGCTTTGAGGGCTGAAGAAAATGCGTGACTCAAGCAGCCAAAATGATATTGCTTAGACAAAGCACTCTGCCTGAGCAGCTTGACAAATGAAACAGTTAATGCTAGACATCATCTCCCAAGCAACACAGTCTTTATCCCTTAAGAGCAATTCCACTGTCCTTTATTTTGAATGCAAAGCTATGAATCCTGCACCTTTCTCTACAATATCTTCTTTTAATCCTCTGCACAATGACCCGAAATCCTGCAGTCCTCATGTGCATTCTTCTTCACACCAAGCTTTAAACCCAATAGAGGTTTCCTTATTTGCTGTTTTGTTCCTTCTCTTATGCTACTGGATCAAGACACATGAGGTGTTAAAATAGGGAGGTTTCAGATCAAAATAGTTGCTGCTCCCACTGAGTTTAAATGTCAGACAAATATGGAAATCTGAAAAACCTTTTCTTTGCTCCTTGTGCTTCTGCCCTTTCACAGTCTTCCCTCTTTTATTTCCAAGTCCCATTCTCTGAATCCAGCCCCGCTGGTGGATTCAATGGCTATAAAAGCCTATTCACCCCAGGACCAAACTCAAGAAGCCTCCAGGGAACTTCGGAAATGACTGTACACTTTAGCAGTAATGGGCCTACCAGGAGCTGCCCCCCATCAAGTTATACACACCTGGGTGTCCTGCTTAATAAGGGGGCAGAAGAGCCTTGCTGACACAAGGCTGTTTGCAAAGAGAAGTCAGGACAGATTTCACTTTGTTTGACAGGGTCACACTGAAGATCAGAGGTCTCTGCTCCTTAACCCCGAAAGTCCCGCTGCAACCACGGGAGGATCTGCCAGGCTTGCAGCTACCACCAGCAGGTACCTCGTGAATCCAGATGTTGTTACATTATCATTGAAGGGAGACTTGGAGAGCTTGGGCCAGCTTTTAGGGAGAACATCCCTGTCCTTTAAAGAAGGACTGACTTCTCCAGCGTGAAGGGCCGCGCTCGGCGGGCTGTGCGGAGGCCGTGTTTGTCCCTCTCCGCGGAGCGCGTTCCGCAGGGTTACTGGAGATGCGCTGTGACACGTTCACTGATCATTTTTTAATGGCAGGAAAACATCTGTTCCGAAGATCCTGCAGTCTTACAACATTAACAGAGTAAAATTGCATCATTTTGCCTGATTTCCTCTATCTCGCTACTCCCAAACCACTATCCTGGGGTATTAAAAACAGATATAAGTGCAGTTTCAGAGAAGAAAATAAAAACCAAACCAAATGCAGCAACACAAAGAAAAAACAAAACAAACCAACAAAAAATTTGCTTTGCAGAACCACATCATTTTCTATCGTCCATTTAAAAACATGACAAAGGTCCTGCCCTTGACTTATTTAACCACCAGCTCAGTAGTCCACCATCTATTGCTTAGAGAACACGCTCACCTTGTCTTTTTATCCTGCTTTTCATGCAAGGGTCTAGAAGCCCTGTGCAACCAGCCCAGCTGAGGCGTTCCTGTGCAGTCAGCAAGTACAACCCTGACTTAAGGGATGCGGAAAACTGATCCAAAGGGAGGTTAAGTTGCCCAAGGTAACGCAATGACAGAGCTGGGAACACAGTGTCTAAAACCTGGAGCACGGGCAGCTGCTCTGCCTGCTACGGTAACACTTTCTCCTGCATCCTGCAGTCTTTTCTTTCTCCTTTCAAAATGCATTAATAAAGAAAATTGGGAAGAGACCTGCCCCTGTTATTCATATGCACACAGGCAGGCAGACCACAGTAAAATACATCTTCTCCCTTGATATATTTTTAGTTTCCATCCTAGGCTTTTCATTGAAATAGTGTTTTAAAGGAGTATTTAGTTAATTAATTCTAGTTCTCTACTAGAACTAGAGAATAAAGACTCCTACCTATCCATAACAAAGATGTCTTGGCGGCATTAACACGGGAATTTGGCATTTTCTCACTTGACTCTTTCATTTCTTCAGATGTGAAGGCCATCACTAACACGGGAATTTGGCATTTTCTCACTCGACTCTTTCATTTCTGATGTGAAGGCCATCATGGAGACCTGAAGAGAAAGTCACTCCACGTACTTGAACTCGAGTCCTTAACTTGGACTGCTCTCAAAATCTGCACATTATTTAATAAACTACTCAGTTTGCTACCTCCTCAATATAAAATTAAACTTACATAATTAAAAAGTCAGAATCCATCTACTTTCCACAGTAATAAAGCTTAACCCTTCCAAGTTATTCTAAGCTAAAACATCCAAGATGATGCCTGAGCCCAAATGGGATTCGAATTTAGAGCACATAGGGGAATTTTACATTCATTCCTTTGCAGGAATTACGTAAAAGCATCCTGATAAACAAATTATAACTTCAGCTGCCTTACTTTCCACTCTATTCCCCTACCTGACACAGCATAGAGAATGTATTTGTGGAAAGAGGGGAGGAAAAAAAAAGATTATTTAATCCCCTAATCTCCGGAGTAAAGAATCGATCACAGTAGAATTTTTCCTTAATGCTGGTCTGACAGGGAAGGCAAGCAGCCTCCCCCAAAGCCCTCCTTTGATCTCGAGCAGGTTAATATCACAGGTCAAACGTCTCCCCTCCTGACTGCATATGGTATCTTGGAAGGAAGATGCACAAACACCGCCAATATGCCATAGCTCTGACCCCTGCTTTTATGCCCTTTACAGTCCCTGACCCTTATTTGTTACATAAACCACAAAAGCAGATGAAAGGAGGCGAGCGCACTCGCTGGAGACTCGAGCTGCTTGAACCGTGGCTCCAAGGTAAGGAAATTGGAATTTGAAGTCGGATCAATCTGAACTTGCAGCATTTTGACAAGGGGCCTTCAAAGAGAAATTTTCTCTTGCCTTGAAAATGGCAAGAGACACTTCTATCCAAAACCCCACTTTTACCTTCCTTGTGGTTTTGCACTTACTGCTCCCACTTGCTCGCTAGTCTTTTCATACTGTGTGGAAGGCCATTCATTTTGGAAGTGATGCCCTTTGCTTACACCTCCAAGAGGTATAAGCAAATATCCAACCCAAACAAACCTGAAATGGCACCTCCCAAAGCCTTCAACTACAAAGAGCACTTGCTGATTCCTCATGCAACTCTAGGGCTCAAGCAATAAAATCTGCAGCTTTCTCTTCCAAACCATGGGTTGAAATTGTGATAAGAAACAAATCTAAACTAAATAATAACAGTTGTATTGATCTCCTTATTTTCTACTCGTGGTTTTCTACTGCTATAAATCACCATTTGTTATCTGAAAGCTGTGACAGAAGTTTTATAAACATATTAAGCACATCTGACAAAGAAATTCTGAAGTCTTTTACATGGGGGCCTAGATACTTCCAATAAACTCTGCATAGGACCTGTAGACATTATATAGAGAGCAATTATATAGAGGTGGGACTTACCTTCTGGAATACTTGATAGTTGGATTTGGACCATATGTCAAGCTGCAGTTGGAAGAAAAAAAAATAGTTATAAGCCATATGATTTCCAAGGAAAAGAAGGTTCCAGGTAAGCCAGCAGGCAAACGGATCTGCCTTGCTTCCCTGTTGTGTTCTGACCCCTCACCGTTACCTGTTGCAATCCAAGAAGAGGGCACAAAGACATGGGACTTTCTTTGCAATAAAGAATTAACAGAATTCACCATGGTTTCAGTGAAAAATTACACAAACAAGACCTGTTGAATCAGTGTGTTTTTCTTTAAAAACAGGAAAATATTCATTTGCATGAGGCTGTGCTGCTCTATGCAAATATTCATCAGCTCCAGTCTGTCTCCAAAACAAGGGTATTTTTCCTAAGTTTATGCTTGTCTTGTGTCTGAATAAGTGATTCAGTTACAAATGACACAAAGAACAATTAGGTAAATTAAACCAAAGCATGGGTCTATTGGGGCCAAATAAAACATCCCTTAGGAAAGTGCATTTACATTTCCAGATGAAAATCATGCTAGCAGAGATATAAGGCTGCAGATAGCTGTGCACATCCATGCCTTAAATGCATGTTCAACAATATACGAAATGGAAACCAAACAAAACAGAAATAACTGAATTAAATGTTATTAACCACAGAAACCAGAAGGGAAGCCTGCCCTTGTGGAGCATCCACATGACTTGCAAGTTAAAAAAAAAATTGTCAATCAATATGTTGGTGTTAACCCAACCTTGTGGAATAGCCTGTGCTCTGTCAGGGAAAAGCAGCAGAAAAAATCAGGAATTTCCTTCCATTAATCCATAGCTTGCAAATCACTTTTTGCTTACAGACCCCACTATACTCCACAATTTCAAATGCTACTGGAAAGGTGTTTGCTACAACATTAACCTCGGAATCTTATGCTTGATGAAATAAAAACAATTTTTGAGGGAATTAATGAAGCAGGTATAGTTTGATAATATGATGTGACACGTGCTTGCCCACAACGGAGACATGAAGCCGCATCTCTCTCCTGCGTTCAGCCTCTTGGAAAAATATAAACCACAAAATATTAAACTGTGTTAAACTTGATTGAAATTGGATCCATGGTTCAAAAATTAGAGGCAAACAGCACAGCTGCATAAACCAAATAAACCAGATTAAAAGTTTTGTTTATTTTAACCTCAGTGATTGCGGGGACAGATCTTTGTAGAGTGGCAACCTGAAACCAGAATCATAGAGCATACCTCTCTGCAGGTACAAACATACTTTTATCATTAAGAAATAAACATTTACAGTGCTTTCCAAATCTCTAAGAAACCAGCTTAAATGCACATGCAGATTCCACATTTGTATTATTTTATCATTCCATTAATGATATTACAACTGCATGCTCTATATCCCCGTTTGAAACACGTAACAGGAACCAAACTGAGAGCAAATCTCAGACTAAATGGGGCATGGTACATTAGAAACATTGGATACATTTATGAAGTAGAGCTAATTATCTCAATTCTGACTTATGGTAGTGCCCATAAGCTAGCTGAAAATTGCACGTCTTCTCAAAGGCGCAAAGGTTACAGTCAGAAAAGAAGCAAGTCCTGTGAAGCAAAAGGCACTGGAGGGGGATGCAGGGGGAGAAAGGGAAGGATGCGGAACCCAAGTAATTAACTGGGATGGTTAAAGAGGCTCACGTTGCCGATGGCACCATGTCAGGCTTTTGAGAGCAACCCTGCTAAGTGGCCCACTTTTCTGACTGCTGCTACGGGAAGCGACTACCGAGTCTCCAACCCTCAGGTTTAACAGCAGGTAATGTTAATTATTTTAAAAAATCCCTTCCGGATGGATGTGCCGTGAGTCGGGAGGCCGACCTTGCCGTGAGACAAGAGGCAGCTGATGTCTCCGGGCTTTTTCCAGGTTGGATGATGACAAAGGGACCCTAGGGCATGGAACTGCAGCCCTTCCACGCTGCTGACTCCTCAGGCAGGCGTAAAACCTGCCCGAACAGCAGCAAGAGCCACAGTGAGGGCACATGGGCAACAGCAGAGCCTAGCCCAAACCTGAGCCTGGCTAAGAGTGTCATTACCTGCGCCTGCACGGAAGGAAGCGCTGCATGGCCATGCCAGAACAGCCTACATCCGAAAACACAAAAAAAAGGAATACCAAATTTAACTATTTTCATGTAATTCAAGACTTTGTTTGACGACAGATGGAGTTGCTGCAACTATTTTCATGTAATTCAAGACTTTGATGACAGATGGAGTTGCTGTAATTGGAATCTATATATGGCTAAGGTAATCTCCAGTGATCCATTCAAACACCTGATTCTCTCTGTCTAGATTCAAGATCATTAGAAAAAATCCACTTCAGATACTGTACTAAAATGAGTCCAAGAGGTTCTGATTGCTCATTAGTTGGCATGAAGACTGAAAAGCTGAAAAAGTAATGAGTGTTTTACTGACATCCTCTTACCTCAGTCAAAAATATATATATATATATATATGCATATGTATATATAAAAACAAAAAAAATACCCAAAATCCCAGCTCACGTGCAGACATCCTAAATGACTGCCCACCTTTCCCCCTGGAACAGAGGATTAAGGCAGAGGCAGATTAAAGAATGCATTGTTACAGGTCTATTATTCTTCAACTTTTCACTTTCAATCAAGACACACATTTGTAACTAAAAAACTGCTGAGAGCACAATTTCAGGGCATCCTCTGCATGCGAATTAAACTGGGGCTTTTTTTCCCAGTGCCCCGTTCTCCCCACCCAGCCCCTGCACACGGAGCAGGAGGCGATTTTCTGAAGGTCGTCTGAACGATTTCAAAGGCGATAACAAATCAGAATGTTCCCTGCATCTAATATCAAACAGGTCCGGTGCCAACACTTATTAGAGAAATCGGATTCAACCCCCCCTTCACCCAAACACACACACATCCAGCTTTGAAGTGGAAAGAATGCAGGGATCAGAAATTACCCCAGAGACGGCTCCGGCTGTCTTTGAAGCTTTCCTTTGATACTACTATTTCTTCTCCTCACTTACGCTAGGAGGCTAAAAGCTGCCTTTTCTTATTGATATGGGGTAATTAATGAAGCCATAGCATTAACATAACCCAAGTTCCTTAACGTGGCAATTCAACAGAGACACTTCTGTTTCTTTAGTTAAGCCTAACGGAGGCAAAAACAGGGATGTGGCTAGGTAGTGATGTTAAGTACCCACTCCAAGTACATCGTGTCGTGGTGGTTCTTGGCTTCTGTATGCGAAGAGGAGGAGGATGTTACCACGCCAAATAAAACCCAATATGGTTTCATTTTTATTGGCAGACCCAGGCTACTAACGGTTCAGCTCGTGATAAGCGTGTCCTGCAAGGGTGAGCTCCGCAGCTTTATTTATTCAGGAATCCGGACAACATGAGTAATTAATTACTAGCTGTGGTTAAATTCCAGTGTAGAAGGAGTTTGGGAGATGAAGGGTGGCACAGTGCCACCACCGAAGCTAGGGGACTCATGAAAATGCATCAGTCTGTAGTGGATGCAGGGGGTTGTACAGTAAGCAGGAGAGACTGCAGCACCATCAGAATACAGACCCAGGGACATGACAGAGGCTGCCAGGTATCACCTTTTGTTTTTGCAAAGTGACACCAAAAACGGGTAAGCTATGCAGCTGGCAACCTGGCAAAGTCATCATCTGCAGGGTTTGTGAATAATTCACAAAAGGAGTACACGAAGCCCTTAGGACATGCACTGGTCCTTTGTCTGACAAAAAAAAAACCCAATAAACAAATAAAATTTTAAAAATATAAAGTTCCAAAATGCAATGTCTTATTTTAGCTACTACCAGCTTAAGATGACTGTTTAAGTGTAAAAAAGAACCATGATGCTACGACTTATTCCAGTGTCTCTTCACAGCAGCTTACAGTAAAGACAGGGGCTTCAGATCTGCCGCACGGCAAGAAACCACCCAGTTAATCTCATCTCCACTATCTACAAATATTAAACGATTCCTAGGAACACATCAGCAAATCCAAACCCCAGCAATTACTAAATAAACAGCTCAAAGAAAAGATTAGTACCACCTTCTGTAAACTTAAGAATTCTTCACATTTTTCTTATTTACTATAGAAGATTCTCTCCTTTTCCCTCTGCGTCTCTTCAAAGATGCTACTACTTTTTTCCCCCCTCAGACTGGAAATTGAGGACCAGGAGAGCATGGGGAAACCTCACTGGAGCACCTTCCCAGCAGCATCTATTGCGACAGAGGAGGAATTGGATTGGGGTGTGTTTGCAATTCACTGTAATCGCTCATTCCCAGCAGGCACGGTGAGTAAAGCACATCATTGCAAGAGCACAATCTTATTCTTATTCTCCAATTACCAGAGTAGTTAATTAGGGAAAAAGAGGGAGCCCACTGTTTGTCAATATGTGCTCCAGTTGGCAAAACTAGCAAGCTACACATTTACTCAATCTTCCAAGCCAAATTTACTCATGATTTAAGTGGCTGCAACTGCAATTCTACTTAAGTCCTATTTATATCTGAAACGCAGACCTTCAGGGAGGTTTGTGAGAGTCCTGGCATGGCCCAATGACACAGCAAAACGCCGTGTAAATGGCACCGGCTCATTCAGCCTCTTGGGAGTAGTCACATAGCCTAACTTTGGAGGGAAAGCTGATCGGGAGAAAATAAAGACTCTCCTGCAGGCTGGTTTGGAGCAGGAAAATAAGCCAGGCATTAGCACG